GTAGCTGGGACTACAGGCGCCCGCCACCATGCCTGGATAATTTTTTTTGTATTTTTAGTAGAGACGGGGTTTCACCGTTTTAGCCAGGATGGTCTCGATCTCCTGACTTCGTGATCTGCCCGCCTCGGCCTCCCAAAGTGCTGGGATTACAGGCGTGAGCCACCACGCCCGGCCCTGACCTAACTGTTGTACTGTCGTTGGAATGGGGTTTCTCCATGTTGCCCAGGCTGGTCTCAAACTGGACTCAAGATATCCACCCACTTCAGCCTCCCAAAATGCTGAGATTACAAGTGTGAGCCACTGTGCTCAGCCAAAATAAAATGTTTCTTATTCTCTGATCCCACTAAAGGGACAAATCCCATTTCAGTTAAACACCCAGTCTTAATCTTAAGTCTTAAACCTTGGCGCAAGTGCCAGTTAATAAGAGATGACATCTCCTTGCTTTGACCTACATTTGTTCTTTATTCCTTTATATATTTACTGAGGACCTGCCATATGCCATACACAGTTCTAGGATTGGAGGGGCAAGCAAAGAGCAAAAACACATGGGTTCTTTCTCAAGATGCTCAGTTTCCTGACGACACAAGGACCAAGAGAAAACACTGCAGAAGAGATATTTCAGTTGATTTGAGAAAGATGAAGGAGTTAAATGGGACATTTCAGGCAAAAGGAGATGCAATTTTCAAAGGCTTGAGGAGCAGAGTGGAGCATGCTAGGATACTTAAAAAAAAAAAAAAAGGCCGGGCGCGGTGGCTCACGCCTGTAATCCCAGCACTTTGGGAGGCTGAGGCGGGCAGATCACAAGGTCAGGAGATCGAGGTCATCCTGGCTAACACGGTGAAACCCCGTCTCTACCAAAAATATAAAAAATTAGCCGGGCGTGGTGGCGGGCGCCTGTAGTCCCAGCTACTGGGGAGGCTGAGGCAGGAAAATGGCGTGAACCCGGGAGGCGGAGCTTGCAGTGAGCCGAGATCCCACCACTGCACTCCAGCCTGGGCTACAGAGCGAGACTCTGTCTCAAAAAAAAAAAAAAAAAAAGAATAAAGCAGGAGTGCTGGGCACCAGCAGAAGACTGGCCTGAAACAAGTATAATTGAAAGTTATTAGAAGGTTTCAAGAAAGGGCGAGAGGACAGAACTTTATTTTTAAAAGATTACTCGGCCGAGCGCAGTGGCTCACACCTGTAATCCCAGCACTTTGGTAGGCCGAGGTGGGTGGATCACGAGGTCAAGAGATCAAGACCATCCTGGCCAACATGGTGAAACCCCGTCTCTACTAAAAATACAAAAAATTAGCTGGACGTGGTGTCGCGTGCCTGTAGTCCCAGCTACTCAAGAGGCTGAGGCAGGAGACTTGCTTGAAACAGGAAGACCGGAGATCGTGCCACTGCACTCCAGCCTGGGCCACAAGAGTGAAACTCCATCTCAAAAAAAAAAAAAAAAAAAAAGATTACTCTAGTTGCGGTGTGGGGAAAAGACAGAAGCAAGCAAGGTGTAGGTGTGAGAGACCAGTTAGGTTATTGCAGGCGTCAAGGACAGAAATGACAGCTTGTGCTGGGTGTTTGCAGTGGACGAGTGGGGTGAGACTGCTTCTGTTGCCCACAGTGTCTGGAACATATATATGGAACCTAGGTATTAAAAACCTTACTCTAGCCGGGTATGGTGGCTCACACCTGTAATCCCAGCACTTTGGGAGGCTGAGGCAGGTGGATCACCTGAGGTCAGGAGTTCAAGACCAGCCTGGGCAACATGGTGAAACCCCATCTCCTCAAAAATACAAAAATTAGCCTAGCATGATGGCAGGTGCCTGTAATCCCAGCTACTTAGGAGGCTGAGGTGGGAGAATCGCTTGAATCCGGGAGGGGGCGAAGGTTGTAGTGAGCCAAGATTGTGCCACTGTACTCTAGTCTGGGCCACAGAGCAAGACTCTGTTTCAAAAAAAAACCCTAACTCGGCCGGGCGCGGTGGCTCACGCCTGTAATCCCAGCACTTTGGGAAGCTGAGGCGGGCTCTCGAGGTTAGGAGTTCCAGACCAGCCTGGCCAACATGGTGAAACCCTGTCTCTGCTAAAAATACAAAAAAAAAAAAAAAAAA